GCCGCGCGCGTGGGGCCGAGGGGCCGAGGAGCCGAGACCGGCCCCAGAAGTTGCTGCTGCTGGTGCAGGTCGGCTGTAGCGGAGCAACCAAGGAGAAAGCTAACGTACCGTCATTCCGGGCCCTCCTTCTAGCGTCAAAATGTTACGGTCAGTAACTGTTTAGCCGTGGGCTTGGGGCCGTCGTGGCTTGGTCTGGGTCCGGAAGGCGGTGGTCAACGGGCGGCGGTTCGGGTCGGTGGTTCGGGTCGGGAGGCAGCTCCGCCGCAGCTTCAGGAAGTGGCGACACCGTCTCGCACCTGCACACAGGTCGGGCCGGGAGCTCGGCCCGACCCCTCCGACGATCAAATTAGAGGAAGACGTGGAGGGGGTTGTGGATGAGGCAGAAGAAGAGCCTCTGAGTGTTTTGTGTCTGAGTGAGTTCCTCTCTCTCCCCTTTGCCAAGGGCTCGGGGGTATTTATAGAGGAGGTTTGATGTTACCTGATGTAGCTGTCTGCAGGGCAGGACTATACCTTTGGTTGCGTGGGAGGCCGAGCTGCTACAGGGTATGGCGAGCCTCGGGCAGTGTGTTGCTCAGGGGATGGCGTGTCACACTGCCATTTTTGTCCATATCATATATATTTATATTTATATTTATATCTGAGATGAGTCGTCAAAATGTAAAAGCTACAAGGAATTAATCGGATCAAGACAAGCACAGATTTGGAGTTTGTGCCGAAGAGAAGCTACAGATGGCACAGTTGCCATGGAAGGGGACAGAGGTAAATTAAAGGCATTCAAACCGAGCCGAGCCTCCTTCCGCGTTGCATCGGTTTCTGCTGGCACAAAAGATGGCCAAACCTTTTCCCTCTCTCTCTCTCTCTCTCTCGCACCGACATGTTATTATATTGTGTGCTTCTTCTTTGCATCAGCCTTCCTCTTTGACTATTTCTTCCTTGAGGACTTCCTCCTTCGGGATATAAACAGCAGAATGAAGTAATAACATCATACACTTTAAACATTAATCATTATCAAAGCTTGAAGATTTGATTGATACATTTGAGATCATACCACTTATGCTCGGCACGTTATCATCGTATACCATCATCCGTAAGATCTTGTGTATGTGAACACTTGACGCATCTCTTTTCCTTCGCATCACTGCTTCCGGTGACTTCGGTTTCCTCTTCTTCGCTCCAGCTACAAGCCACTTCGGCCATGGAAGACAGTAACCGAGGCCGCAGAAACAGCTCCAGCCTGCAGAGATCTGCGCCCGACGGCACCGTCACGCGCACCCGAGCAGATCCTCAAACTGGAATCCATCTTCAACAGTGGCACGGTAGTAAACCCTACCATGTTGATGGATGATAGCGCCCACGATGGCTTCTCGATCTCTCGCCAGATGGGACTCATGGAGAGCACTCAGTCTCCCGTCGTGCGCACTTGTGATGATGTCTTGCGGTTGCACCATCAACCTGGTTAGTGCATGGCTGCCTCTTTCTGGATTTCTCATAATGGTGCGGGACATGACAACCAGTGATGGACTCGACAACTGAAACAAGCAACAGACATGCTACCTTAAATCCAAGCAATCCACTTTCTTGTCTTTGTTTCAAGGACTCACTACTCTTCTTATACTGAGGCATCCCCTGAAAATGAATCAGCGCTCATAAGAGAGAGAGAGAGAGAGACAGAGAGATGGAGCAATGATCGTGAGAGAGAGGAGCCATGGTTAGGTTTATTGTATATAGGGAGCAAATTTACATCCAATATAATCATATTTTGATGCAATGAAATTATTCCTTCCTTTTTCTTCTCTAATGGACAAAAAGCCACATGCATGAAAGAAGTGTTGGTTTGGTATTTCTATGAAAAGCATCGAGTGTATAGAAATGGTGCATGCACATTAAGATCGCGAACATGAACTAGTGAAAGATGCATGCACGTTAAGATCAGTAGGGATGTATAAAAGTCTCATCGTGATGAGCAAATCATGACTTTTTATCTCTATACTGAAAACTTTCGTAGGAGAATTAATCATGGCTCACCTTTGTGCTAGTAATCTGGTTGATTGGCATTGCTACTCTTGTCAAAGACAGTAATCGCAACAACAGGTATTTCGCCATTGTTGTAGCTCCAAGAAGCGACTCCAGCGGCCAACACAATGCTGCCTGCCTCCCTCACGAAAAATGGTGGATCCTCCTCTGGCATTGAATCGCCTCCTGCTCCCATTGCTGTTCGGTTTGTCTGAAGGATTGGAACGTCTCGTCTCTAGGAAGGTTGGGAACACAGTTCCGATGACACCCCTATCTGCATTCGCCATGGGTCATCGTGGAAGAGGAAGCACAAATGCTTGAGGTTGGTGAGAATGGGACGATCTCAGTTGAGAAGCCCAACCGCGAGCTGCCTAAACATGTGAATAGAAATCCACCCGTGTGTAATAAACTTGTACTAATAATGGATCTGAGACACCATTATGTGAAAGCTAGATGGCAGTGATAATAACAGTGGAAAAGAAAGAAATGATGTGATTGATTGCTTGCTTGCTTTTTTTTCTTCCTCTCTTCCCTCTTTCTTCTGTACTCTGTGATACTTGCTACTTGGCAACAAAATCAGAGATAGATAAAGCAATTAAAGACACTAATTGGCAACAAAATCACTGCCATCTAGCATTCGAATAATGCTGTCACAGATCCATTATTAGTACCAAGTACACTAAACAAGGACAGATTTCTATTTCACATGTTTGGGCAGATTGCGGTTGAGGTTCTCAGCTCCAATCGTCCCATTCTCACTGCAAGTCGACAGAAAGCTGCATGAATATTATCATTTGACTTCCTAGTAATTGCTTTTATGTCATCACTTCATTCTTCATGCCGGCAAATGTCCGCCATGAAGTCTTACTTTTCATGGTTTACTTTCTGCTAGGAGAATGTTAATTGTCCTTTACAATGGTAAAATAATGCTAATAGACTTTAATTAAGCTAATAAGAGATATTAAGATAATAATGTAATTAATCTAAGATATCTAAGTCCTAATCCACTCGATCGTACTGAGTTTACACTATAAATAGGTGTGCAATCTCTTCCTATGAGATCATCAAGTCGGATTAAGACAGGAGCAACAGAGTAGCAGTAGTTTCTGAGTTATTCTAGTCTTTCGATTGGTGTTGGCTTTCTATCCTTTTCTTTTTATTCTTGATTTACATGATGGCATTGACATTTCATGCATACTATTCTTTTTGGAATGAGGTACTTCATGTTAAAAGGAGGGGGAACATGAGTTTAAACTCGTACAATAGAGCAAAAAATTCACTATGATAAAGATCTAAATTAATGACAGAAAATAATGCCATCTACAAATCTACACCATTCAGAGAGGCTTACAAGAAGTATATGTGGTGGTGGATGATAACGGAGGAGAAAATTAGATATGAAGGAATCATTTTTAATAAACATTTCTAGTACAGTCTATCGCATAGCTCCCGAAGTTTATAAGAACACTCGATAAAGAAGAAGTTTAGGCATCGATGCTTGGTCTCCTGAGGTGAAAATTTGTTGAAGTTTCATGCAATCCACTGCTTCAAATGTCTGAGGCTAATATTCCATGTGATATCAACTTTTGGAGTATAGATTTTGCCTATGTGTAATGATGGAGAGTTGCAATCCAAGCATCACAACACATGCATATTCTTTTGTGTAAAATTTCATCATATATAAAATTTAATTTTATTTATTTATTTTTGTAAAAGATAAGTGACGAAGACGGGATTCGATTTCAATGGGAAATGATATGAAATGGTATGGATGATATTATATATTTGATTCGATTTCAATGGGTCATGACAATAAGACCACTTACAATGCGCTGTAAGCTCAATCCAATATTTATTTAGTTTGAAGAGATCGCCAGATTGTTATTATATTGTATTTTTATTTTATTATTTTCTTCGGATAAAAAAATAAGGCGCGATTCACGTGGAAAAAAAAATAAAAAAGAAAGATCGGTAGATTCTGCCACGTAAAACCTAAAGATTTGTGTATCGTTCGCTCAGATCTATTCGTCTCGGGTACAAATTAGAAGTTGGTGGTGGACACGACGACACCAATTTGCTTGCATTATTAGCTGAAAATTATTTTTAAAAAAATTAAAATCTACTTATATTAATCAAAATTTGTATAAGTGAATTTAGTAATATACAGGGTAAAATTTTGAAAAAAAAGGTAATTTTTCCCCCTTTCTATTTATAGAATTTTCAAACAATATCTTCATTTTAGTCTTATTAAGGAAAAAAGTTATTGATGTCTTAATCTGTCCGATGTGGCATTCTAGACTCGTACATGCAAGGTTGTCTGATGTGCTTATCGGATGGAAACATTAAGCTTATGTAGTATCGTCCACACGAAGATTGAGATTATGAGAGGTTTTCTGATCTGATTCCTTTAACATCGAGTCAATAACTCAATGTATATGAATATAAACATATAAAAAAAAGGGAACCCTGTTATTGTTATTTTGAAGATGAACTTTTATACATGATCGTCTAATGGTAGAATATATAATGAGATATTATATGACAAGATAATTTCTAACCACCTCCAACCGACCACTTGTCCACATGGGCTAAAATGAGGTAGCATATAACCACTTACATTGGATTTTTACTCGTGGGTAGGTGGAGAGTCACATTTGTATTATTCTTTCATCTCGAACATAATATTACGATCTATGTCACATGAAAATCAACTGACTGTATACTTCAAATATCATCATCTTCTTTTACTCTAAGCACATCGTTACGATCGGATGAAAGACTAACTAACGATATAGTATAATACTTAAAGTATCATTTTTTTTCCTTCTATTATAGTATTTTTACACAATATTATATTGTTTTTGGTAATACCACACACTACAATTTTTACAAAAAATTATAACACAAACACTTAATATAGAAATATTATAACATAATATTTTTACATAATTTTATAAAAAATATTATTTTTATAATCATTTAAATCTTATGTTACAGTAATTTTTAATAATACTAAAAAAATACTATAATAAAATATTTATATTTCAATAAAATTAAGAAAATACTATAACATGTAACATAGTGTAAAAATATTATATTATAGTATTCTTATATTATGTTATAATATTTTTTAGTATTATAAAAAAAATACTATAATATAGTATAAAAACATCATAACTAGATTGGTTCACTCTCCATAAGAAAAAAAAAAAAGAAAGAAAGAAAATAAATAAATGATTGACGGTATTTCAAGGAAAAAAAAAACTGTTTGGGAATTCCGACCGGGGAAAAACTCATAAATGCTTTTTCTTTTTCATGAATCCATCCTAATATATCTTTATGTCTCCCACATATATATATATATATATATATATATATATATATATATATATATATATATATATATATTTGAAGGGATTCAATATGTTATTTTCAAATATTGTTTTTTTTTCTGTACTTAATAAAAAATTTCCGCCAACACCGAGTTCGTTGGCGTTCGGACTGACAGCCGGTCAACACTGCACAAGACGACGCTGTCCGCCGTGCTGCTCTGCCATTGGACTGTTTGCGGTGGCCGTGAGGAGGAGGCACTAAGTTTGATGCGCTTTTCCCGCACCACTCACGTGGAGGCCACCCAACGTATTGACGAGGGCGACAAGAGACAGAGAGCAGAGCGGTTGTGTTGCTTGTAGCCCCATTTGGTGGAGAACCGGCGAGGGAGGCGACATGGGCGCCGCCCAGGGTTTCGTCACCAAGCTCGGCCATCTGCTCGCCTTCTTGCCCATCTTCCTGCTGCTTCTCCTCCTCGGGATACTCAAGGGTTGGTGCCTCTTCTCCTGCTTCTCCTCCTCCTCCTCCTCCTCTTCATTTTCTTCCTAATTCTGCTTCTCCTTTCTTTCAGCGGCTTTCATCGCACCGATCGTGTTCGTCACCGTGTTGGTCGGGAACACCGCGTTGATCGTGGGGCTTTACCCCGTGCACGCCGTCTGGACCTGCTACTGTATCGCGAGGTCGGCGTCTCCTTCTTCTTCTTCCTTCTCCTTCCTTTCTTCTCTCCTACCTTGGTGGCGTCCAAGATCGCCTCCGTGACTTAAGTCGTGGGATGAAGCATCTTCCAGGTTCATGTTGGGAAACGATTCCATCAACATCCTCAGCGTTTGTCCGTTTCTTTCGTTTTCTGTTCTCCAAAGAAACCATGAGTTCGAGACCAAGTGAAAGGCATGCGAAGCAGAGTTTTGATCCTTTGATTCTCTCTTTCACCGTAACCCAAATGAGTTTGACGGAAGAATTATGAATGAGCATATGACTACCACACTCATGAGCAGAAGAAAACACACATTGGGCAGGACCAAGTCACTTTTTGCAAGACTGTCTTTTGTAGGAATCATGCCATTCACTTCACTGCGAACCACATCAAGCCTCTCAGCTCTAAAGGAGCTCCAGATTTTGATAGGCAAGACATAGAAATCCTGGTTACTCCCATCAAAATTAACATTTTTGAGCTTCCTTTCCATCTGAAATAGAGAAGACATCAGCACTTGTGACAGTGACTCATAATCTATCTGCAATCGATCTGAAAGTTGCCTTCCTAACCTCATGTTCCCACAGCCATGGTCCACCCAGATCCAACAGAAGGCTGGTACCCTGTCACTTGCTATAATCCGAAAAAGGCTGAACATCAGCCCTATAATCCTTCCAGTAGTGGGTATTACTCCTATCCTTGAGATTATTGGAAAAAGACCTTCTACCTTATATAATATCTGATAGTGATGATATCAGCCCATGCTCCACTATCACAATTGATATTTAAACACGAACCCGGTATACTCTGTTGGAATTCTTGAGCTCTAGACCTTCTGCCTTCAACCTTATGTAATATCTGATAGTGATGATATTAGCCCATTCTCCATTACTAGATTTGATAGTTTTCCAACACGATTGACCCATCATAGCAATGTTAAAGTCTTTTAACATTCTGCATGTGAAACTTGCCATGAATACAATTTATCTCTTACTTTTCGCTATTGTCATTTGTTGTGATATCAAAATTCATCTTGTTATTCCATTTATTTTTTTTGCTTGACTGTTAATGACATATTAATCCAAGGAATTGCACTAGATTTCTTATTAAATTTTGGGGTGGCAGGACAAAGAAATTTGGTTCCTTGTTCAAGGTTCTCATACTGCTGTTGATGCCGCTTCCAATCCTTCTGTGGCCATTTGCATCGATGATTGGTACCATTTTGACAGGACTAGGATTTGGAATTGCTTTGCCACTAATGGCAACATTTGAAGCTGTTAGGGAAAGGGTTCCAAATAAGTTCTCTAGGTGCTTCACGGTGCGAATCTATTATGTCTTAATGCTTTTGCATTTTTCTCCCCACGTAATACTTCTTCAAAACTGATGGTTTGCTGTGAAGGCTGGTACTTGGAGCTCAATTAAAGGAGGGTTCACTATTGTGCGTGACTTCAAAGATATTTGCTTTCATTCCTACTTCTCCATTATGGATGGATTGGTTGAAGCAACGGGTGAGACAATAATGGACATGAGGTGCCTTTCTTGGTTCTCATAAACAAATACCACATACTTTTCACATTTTGCGCTGCTCTAAGAATTACATGTGATTAGGTTAGTTCATGCAGAATAAGTACTTTCAGTAGATGGGATCGCACAAATTTTGCCTAGAAATTTGCTCCAATCTTTAATGAATTTATATACATGCTTTCTTTCGGAATCTTGCACTGTGAGTTTTACCATTTTTTATTACCACAAAAGTCTTTCATCTTAATCAAGATATTAATCATTTGCATGAATTTGAACTGATAATTTATCGAGAAAAATGCTGCGAGAGCTTCTGTAGCATACAAGTGAATTGATCTGAAAAGTTTCTATTTCTTCAACCTGATAATTAAAAGTGAAAACCTGGATACCTTCTTGCCATTTTTCTCACTTCTTGCCATTTGAAAGTAGCCTTTGACCAGAAAAATGAGTGATGGTGATAGAACCTATGAAACCATGAAGTGTATAATGGATTTTCATCCTTTTCTTTCCGCATGATATCAGCATATAATTAGAAAAGTTGATCCAATCCTATATAGAACAAAGCTAAATGCTCAAACGAGATAGAAAGAAAATGATCAAAATTAATAATCAATAAACTTAATGTTAGGAGATTGTACTTGTGGTAGAACGGAATAACTACTTGTACCTTTTGACATGTTGATCCATGAGGAGATGGTACATATTATTGAAGAACGATACACAATGACCTTGCTTGGTAGTTGGTACCGTTACATTTTTGTAACCATAATAGTTATGCCTTGAACCAGCCATTTGCAGTTGGTTTTTTTTTACTTAATTGATCTTCCCACTGAGGGCTACACCCACAATTTTGTAAAGATCTTGCATATACTTGTACTTGCTCTCAGTCTTATTTATGTTTTTTTACCCTTGTCTGGTTCAATGAAACTTAACAACTGAGGTTTTTGTTCTCCGTCTTAGTGATACATAACAATTTACTTTTACTCATGTAGGATATCACAAGTACCTGGATGCTTACTGGCAGGAATCTTAGGTGTGCTCATTGATGTGCCCATGATTAGCCTTATAGTACTTTACAAAGTTCCTGTTATGCTGTTTAAAGGATGGAAGCAGTTGATTCAAGATCTTATTGGACGGTCAGGTCCATTCTTGGAAAGTGTTTGTGTTCCTTTTGCTGGGCTTTTGATTTTACTGTGGCCTGTAGCAGTTGAGTTGACAGCCGTAGCAGGGATTCTTTCGAGCTTTAGCCTTGGATGCTATGCTGCTGCTGTTGCATATCAGGTATCAAATCTCAAAATATCTTAGTGCTGCATTTGTAGTCCTCTTGAAATTCAATAATTTCATTCTGATCTCATATGTCGAGTTTTTAATTTACTTCTTGTTTTGGACAACCGTATGAACTTTATCGATTCTCATTGACATTATGTTTCTTTCTGACAGGAAAATTCTACAATGAGTGGAATTCTCTATGTCATAACTGTGATATCTATGTTTGATGAGTTCACTAATGACTTCTTGTACATGCGAGAAGGCTCATGCTTTCCGAGGTATGTATGATCTCTTTTGTCTATCTACTGCTTTTGCAAAATCTGCATCTTATTCCATGTGCTACGGAAACTCAAGTATCAAAACTTTACATGTCTTTTGTATGTTTTCCCTATTGGCATAGGGTGTTTTTGTTCCTTTTTTGGTGTGTCTGGTGATGAGGAGGATCGTTCATGGCAGCCATCTTTGCTTTATTCTTTGTCAACCATACTGATAAGTAACTAGATGAGTTAAACCCTTAAGCCAAAGTACTCTACCTCTTCTATTGCTTGAGTGTTGGAAGTGTCATGGCACATTATCAGTGATTATAGCCATCATAATCATTAATGATCAAATTAATGTCAGTCGTGAGAAGATGATCAAGGAAAACACGGGGACTAGACTAAGTAATGGATCATTATTTCCATCAGGTTGCAACTAGCAATGAAGGTGCTATTGAAAGTAAGCTGAAAAGGGTGGTTATCCAAAAAATTCCTATGAGAAACCACCACAAGGAATCAAAAAATTGGGGTGTCAACATAGAGACTTCTTTGGCTTTTGTTGCTTCTTAGTGTTTCTGTGAATGAATACATCATGGTTCTTGTGTTTTAAAACATCTGTGTGGCCAGCCAGACCTAAATATCGCAAGGCAGCTATTTCTCGCTCTCCATCACTTCCGATAAAGAGGGATCCAATCCAAGATGATTCTTATCCTGCAAAACGTCCGTTGATTAAGACAGCATCAATGAAGGTGCAGGAGCTGAAAGCAGTAGTGGTAAAAAGCTACACATCGTCTTGATCTTGCTCCTTTCTTTGTGTTTTTGCCAATTTTTGCTAACCTATTGTTTTCTTAGATATGGGATAACTTCTTCAAGTCATGTGAGAGTGTTGGTAAAGAGCTTGTTCGAGCTGGTGCTATTCATATATCAGACTTGGAGGAATGGCAAAATTCAAAGAACAAAATAGTTAACATTGGGCTTCCTTCATATGTCTTTCTGCAGTGTTGTGTCCGTTCAATAAAAAGCGGTTCTGTTGGTTTTGTCTTGCGTATGAGAGCTCCCTTAGATCTTCTGCGGTGTATTTGCTTTCTGAGACTATCTATCATGAAACTAAAAATGGTTATTTCCTTTTGTTGGCAGGTGACAATGTTGAAGTCACATCTTTAAATAGGCCCGAGGGAAGAATTTTTGACTGGCTTTTCGAGCCCATGCTGGTTCTGAAAGAGCAGATCAAGGCTGCAAATTTAGAGACAACAGAAGAGGAATATCTCTATAAGCTGGCTCTTTATTGTTCTGATGCTCGAAGATTTTCTTCTTGGCAAAATGGTGGGATCGCGCCAGCTGAAGAGGTCAAAAGAGCCCAATTAGAAGGTTTAAGTAGAAGGTAAAACAACATTCTGGTTGAAATATTCATATATGTGTGAGAAGAGAAGAGATGGGCTAAAGGGAATCTGACCAAAGATCGAAAGAGATTACAAATATTAGGCTTGACCCATAATCTAAAAACTTAACATAGTCTAGCTTGATATATGTTAACCTTACCCTGTTTGACTCATATTCATGACATTACTGTTACGTAGATATCATTTCTGCTTGATCAAATACCCTCAATCATTTACTAGCCTGATAGACCAGAGACTAAGGTCACCATAAAGATAGACCAGAGACCGAGTTCATTTAGTTCTTTCTTCGTGAGCTCATCATTTCTTTCTTTGCCACTGTTATTATCACTGCCATCTAGCAGTGTCACAGATCCATTATTAGTATTAAGTATATTATGTGCTCTTTCCTTTTCAGTTCTTTTTGTTGAAAAGAATAAAAGACAAGAAGAATTATTGAAGAAGTTTGAATGCATTAACATGTCCCTCTCCTATTTATACAAATTAGGATTAGGAGGGAGGATTTTCCTCAACAGAATAGAGGATTTCCCTCAACAGAGTAGAGAGATTTCCTCGTATAATTGGGAAAATCTTATCTGATATCACTTTCTTTCTCTCTATGTGTCTGTGTACATGTTTGGTTTGTTTGTGAGGGTGCTTGTTCCATGCAATTGTGTGCAGGTCGCAGGGTTTCAGTTTGACCATTTCAAGGATGCCAACCTTCAGACGACGGTTCGAGGAAGTCGTCAAGGCATTGCTGCAAGAAGCCAGGCAGGTTCTGCAGAGAAATGGCCATGGCATTGAGCCAGCACTATAGATGATTCCCATCAGATGAACGGCATCTCAGGTATAACGTGCTTATCTTAATTTCTCCATTTTCTATAGAAATCCATGTCAATATAATCGAGTTCCAGAAATCAAACAAATGGTCTAATTCTGACAAGGTTTCGATTAATTTGTTTACATCGTATAATCTTTGGCAATGAGAATTTTCCTTTATTTCCTGAACAATACAGTTACCTCGTTTGCATCTTATGATGGAATAGCCTCTGTTGCGGGGAAAGGATGCTTGGTAGAACTCCTTTTTGTTGTAACCTAATCGACTGTCCTCCTGGAATAATGTCACTATGTCAAGCTTTTCCTTAGCAGAAACTAAATGACTGTATGAACCAATCAACATGTGTGGACTTGAGGAATGGACAATCCTTTACCTTGTTTGTGATATCTGTAGTCATATGTGCTTGTCACATATATAATGTTGTGGTGGTAAGCGAAACAGCCCTTTTCTTTCTTTACCTGCGCTCTTTGTGTCGCAACAAAGTCCAAAGAGCACACAGAAAGCTCCTCGGAAGCCATGGGCTGTTCTCCCACTGATTGCCTCTCTGGGTTTCCTTATAAGCCTCCCCCCAAACCCCTCCCTCGTCGAATTATGTGATTTAGGTTTAGGTTTAGGTTGCGATTGTGGTGTAGATAAAAAGGTAATTTAAAGCGAAAAATTCTCACTAATTGTTTTATATGAGAATTATGTGATTTTTATGGTGGAATAGATGAAAGGATAATTTTTGGAGAAATTATTAGAGAACATCTCTTTTTTTCCTGAATGGATAATTGATATATGACACATTCATTGTCTTTTATTTTCAAGACAAGAAAGAATGAAGGAAGAGATTGAGTCAATCGAGTTAGATTCGAATCGACTCAATGAATCAGATCAGGGAATTTAAAAAAAAAATTGATTAAAATATAAAGGAAAATTGAAATAAAAAAAACAGACAACGTCGAGTAATTTCTCAATAAAAGGTTATCATTCGATAAAAATCAATTAGTGGAAAAAGCTATCGGTATAGGATGGGATCAATGGAGATTTGCAGAGTCAACGAGCAATACGACGCACGAAACATCAACATCAATTGGAGCGATAAGAAGGCGGCTGAGGACGATTCAGTACAGTAGTCGGCCAACCAACTGCTCTCCAATTATGGTACGTGCCCAATTTTAATTGGACTCATCGTGTGTACAGTTGTTGGTTGGATGTCAGAATCGATGAACACGAAATAACATTTAAGGGTCGGATCTCAAGACTCCTCCGACCCGCCCCGTTTCACCACGCAAGGAAGTCATCCATTTTCGAGTAATTGCGGAAAAGTAAAGGTAACCGGAATTATTTTGTGCTTCAAGGCTTGACTTCGTCAAAGAAGGGCTTCAAGTCGGACTTGTCAAAGGGCAAAATGACCATTCACACTGCAACACAGCACGAGCACGCATGCCGACTTGTCCTTATAATATCGTGTGCCAGTTTCTGTGCTCCATCCATCATCACCACCTCCAGTGAGTTCATCCACCATCTCGACGACACCACCAACGCACGTCCCAACGATGGCCGAGAGCGATGCTGCTCCCACCGTCAAAGAGATCCCCGGAAGCTACGGCGTGCCCTTCGTCTCTCCCATAAGGGACCGCCTCGACTTCTACTACTTCCAGGGGGCGGACAAGTACTTCCAGTCCCGGGTCGACAAGTACCACTCCACGGTCATCCGCCTCAACGTGCCTCCGGGGCCGTTCATGGCCTCTGACCCCCGCGTCGTCGCGGTCCTCGACGCCAAGAGCTTCCCCGTCTTGTTCGACGTGTCCAAGGTGGAGAAGAAGGACGTCTTTACAGGCACCTACATGCCCTCCACCTCCCTCACCGGCGGCTACCGCGTGTGCTCCTACCTCGACCCCTCCGAGCCCAGCCACGCCAAGGTGAAGCAGCTCCTCTTCAACGTCCTCGCCTCCCGCAAGGACGCCGTCGTCCCGGCCTTCCGCACCAACTTTACTGCTCTCTTCCAGACCATGGAGTCGCAGCTCGCCTCCGCCGGCAAGTCCGACTTCAACAAGCTCAACGATAACACCTCGTTCGAATTCCTCGGCGAGGCCTACTTCGGCGTGCGCCCCTCCTCGACGGAGCTCGGGGCCACGGGCCCGACCAAGTCCACCAAGTGGCTCTTCCTGCAGCTGTGCCCGCTGATGACCCTCGGCCTCCCCAAGATCCTGGAGGAGCTGCTGCTCCACACCTTCCCCCTGCCGCCCCTCATCGCCAAGGGCGACTACAAGGCGCTGTACAAGTACTTCAGCGACGCGGCCGGGAGCGCCCTCGACAGCGCCGAGAAATTGGGCCTCTCGCGGGAGGAGGCATGCCACAACCTCCTCTTCGCCACCGTCTTCAACTCCTACGGCGGCATGAAGGTGCTGCTCCCGGGGATCCTGGGTTGGTTGGCGAAGGCGGAGGAGAGCCTCCACGCGCGGCTCGCCAAGGAGATCCGCGCGGCCGTGGCGGGCGAGGGCGGCAAGGTGACGCTCAACGCCGTGGAGAAAATGGAGCTAACCCGGTCGGTGGTGTACGAGGCGCTGCGGATGGACCCGCCGGTAAAGTACCAGTACGGCAAGGCCAAGCAAGACCTGGTGATCGAAAGCCACGACGCGGCCTACCAGGTGAAGAAGGGGGAGATGATCTTCGGGTACCAGCCGTTGGCGACGAGGGACCCCAAGGTGTTCGACAAGGCGGAGCAGTTCATCGGCGACCGCTTCCTGGGGGACGAGGGTAAGAAGCTGATCAAGTACGTGGTGTGGTCGAACGGGCCGGAGACGGAGACGCCGTCGGTGGCCAACAAACAGTGCCCCGGGAAGGAGCTGGTGGTGCTCGTGGGGCGACTGCTGGTGGTGGAATTCTTCCTCCGCTACGATACCTTCACCGCCGACGTGGGCACCATACTTCTTGGCTCTCAGGTCACCGTCACCTCGTTGACCAAGTCCTCCTACTCCTCCTCGTCCACCACCACCACCAACTTGTAGCTCGTTGACCACAGGCTCTTCTTTCGTCTGTCTCGCAAAGTGTTGATCGAGTTCTGTAATGAGTGTGTTGTTTAAGTGGTTCGATGACAGCATCTACGTATTATCTATTTAGTTATCTAATGGAATCAATGCGGTGGTTCCAACTGTGTGGAGATCAAAACAAAGCTTCCGTTCATTTCAATGCAATGTCGCCATCAGCCTATATTTACTTGCTATTCTGCTGACGTATAGCAGTCGTAAGTGCATGTAGCAAATAGAGATATGAGACTACCAATAAATAAATAAATAAATAAATATATATATATATATATATATATATATTTGTTACGAGTATATGTGGATGAGGTCATGGTTAACGTGATAGAGGTATTAAAAAATATGTTATTAATGTCTATGTCAATAAGACATGACTTTGTTTCGAGTTGTCTGAGGTAGGGAGTAATTTGTCCGGACTCATTTATTGCATAAAGATGACAGGTCGAGGGATCTTTTTCAATTGGTCCCTCTATCATTTTAATTAGTATTGAGTTTAATATTATTTTTTCTTTCCCTTAATCTAAAGTCAAGAACATATTTTTATAGAAGAATATCTGATAATGATGATATAAAGAACGTAGTTCGTAACGGATCCGAAATATCTTATAGTCATTCAAGAATATTTATACAAATATTACACAAGGGAACCAATTCTTTATCGATTCGAATTGTCTTCTAGTATTCTGAGAATATTCCTACGAATATTTTGTAAGGGAGCTGGTTCGTAACTGACCCGAACTACCTTATGATATTTCAGAAATATTTATACAAATATTTCATAGAGGAGTCAGATTCATAATCACCCTAACTGGTTTTTAGCATTTCGAGAATATTCTTGCAAATGTTTCACAAGGAAGGTAGCTTAGTAACTCAGTAGCTTGACAACTTAGTAATTAACCCGAGTTGTCTTTTAGACTTCTATCTCTGTGAACAGAAAGATGTTGGCCTGATAAATCGTTGGTGTGGTGAATAATATATTACTAATTTTATATTCTCTCTTAGTAGAATTATCTAAGATGCATCCAAGATAAAAACGTGAAGCTCTTAGGGGATCACCTACATGAAGATCGATGTTGAAAAAAGATCCAAGATAATATGTTGACCTATTCAATGTCTAAGTTAGTAACCAAGATAGATGAATACATATTTTTATATCTTATTATAAATAAATAAAATATTTTATAAAATATTCTACCGGAAGATAAACTCTGATCGTCTCTAATAATATATTTTCTTGGTCTTTTATCTATGCGAGTAATAACGTAGGACAATCTAAAATCGTCTATCTTGAATTTTTATCCAAATGAATAGATAATAAATAATAATAATCTTTATTTATTCTTCCAATCAATCTAAATATCACGTCTTAGATGATAACCGATGTTTTCTATGTCAACTCCGCCGAGCAGGAAAAGTCGTCCGCCTGCCTTCCGTGTTCTTAAGATCATCTCCAAAAGCTTCGCCATCCGTGACCGGTGACGCTGACTGCAACGTCAAGGCGATAGGCATCGATGTGAGAGACGTACAGCAATATTAGATTAGAGTTCGAAGAAACCGGAACAGATGCAGCACCAGACTCGGTAACGCGTTGTCCAAGTTTGACTTTTGGTAAAATGGAATAGAAAGTGCACACGTTTCAAAGACGTATCGCAACACTGCATCTACGTATGCGCAAAGGTTGAATTCTCTCACCTCAGTAGTCTATTTGTGTTTGTCATACTCACCAATTTGAGATTGATTAAGACCTTCAAGTCTTTTTCTTCCCTCAAATGTTGGATATGAGCACGAGACGGTCAAAAGCCGGACGTGTTTTACGAAGTTGTTGGATTCTTTTGATCTTCAACTTGATATTTGACTAATTTATTAGATGATAAGTTGCATGACAACTTTGATTGTTAGATGATAATTAATCTAATAGACTTAAAATCCATCTAAACTCTACCAAAAATACATGTAACTAACTATATGCATTGATAAGCACATTGACTCATAATTCTCTGACATAGCACTTTCATCTCTCTATCTCATATTCTTTCATTTAAAATAATATTACTGTAATTTATCATCATCAAATTAAATGAATCAAGATAGAGACTTAATATCTTCATTGGACTTGTGGGCTTTTTTTTTAAGGGTTGTATTCTTTATATAATCTTTAGATAGATTCAAATATATACAAATTATATGACAAAGATATATTTGATCCCATAAATACTTTGTTAGTACGATAACATCACATTCGTAACAATACTTGATGTTGCCTTTGATGTCCATTCATTCTAAGACGGACATTAGTAGATGCCCCTTCGTCCCTATTAACACGATCGTTATGATGCTTAACGATTCGACAAACCATTCCATGATCGAGCAATAATCGATAATTCCATGAAAATGCTCTCGTGTAATAAATCCCCACTTAACTCTCTTATAGAAAGGTCTTAGGTGCATTTTTAAGACTCTCTCTTGAACAATCTAAATACATAATACTCTTTTTTTTAAGGCTATCTTGTTCTAACATATTCATGGTATAATTTTTGCGAGATCGAACATACGATAAGTTCGAACATTATATTAAGATTATCTCTCAACCTCCTCTAGGCCGCTCATCTCCGACTATACAATTGGCAACTATGCGTATAGATGAAACACCAAATGTATTGAGGACACATTGCTTTCCACTTACCCTAATTCCTATCTAGAAACCCTAACCATCTCAGATCTACGACTAGATTCCACGGCCACCCATCCACAGCTTCTTTGTCCCATTGCTCGCACTAGATTTGTTTGCGCATGCACTGCCACGTGACATACTTACAAGCCTTAACAATGTGCCATTGCGTAAATCCATGTCTTGATCGCTACTTGAGCCAACCCCAAAACAATAATTCCTCCTCACAACCCTACAAAAATAAGCCCAATAAATGCTCGAATCGCATCATTTTCCATCGTCTCTTTGGATCATTCTGAACGACTCCATCATCGACTGTCGGATCGCGAAACCAATAATTTTCTTTCAATTACGCCATCGATCGGTGGGTGAGTAGACACCTCCTCTGTTATAGCTTATTGCACGAATCTAGAAGCGCGTTTCCTTTGATCGTGTCCGTACAGTCCCGGCACAGCCGGCGACGCCTTCGAGAGCATCTCTATCTAAAGCGAGGGATGTATGGAAGGATCAAGTGCGGTTTAAGCATGGATGACGAGAGAGTTGGAGGCCGGAGGCAAAGGGGGAGCATGGCTTGCATGCTTGCCCACCGGTGTGGTCCTCTGGGCCAAGCGAAACGGGAAGCTGGAATGATCTCTGAACCAGTCAAGAGACATGGGCCCGAAGGATCATGCCGCTTTGCCCTGCCCTCTCTGTGATGATTATGAGGTCACTCCGCCCTCACGCACAAACCTACTCATGGCGCACCGACGAGCGAAAGCAGCGATTAACAACAAGTGGGGGAGTAGTTACCTTCATGAGGTCATCCCATCTGCGATGGAGACCCAACGCGCCGGCGCCGTCCCCACCGCCGACCACAGCCTCTGGAATTCTCGTGTGAGCCCGATCGGTCTTGTCTCCCGGACTCGCCGCTTTATGGCTTTTTCTGACCAGTTTCGATTCACTGTTATCAGAAGCATTACGTCGAACACATTTCTGAAATCATGGGTGGTACACACAATCGTACCTCATCGTTTGAAAGCTCCGGCTCCTCCCCTTTATTGCGCAGCATGAACTTTGGAGTGGTGGGTGGGGGTAATTGATGAGCTCTGAGTGATCTGCACAGTGCATCAAAAGACTCATGACCCAGGGTGAGAAAAAGAAAGATTACAACAGTGAAATGTGAGAGAGAGATGAAGTCGTTGTTGCCACTGCTTCATTACTGCAACCTGCTATTATTATCACTGCTTGTGGTGGTGATGAAGGTTTGGAGTCATTAAATGAGCTGTGAGAAGGCAGGCCTTTTAATTGCTTGCTCGCTCCCTCGCTCGCTCGCCTTTATCTTTTTGTTCCCTCCCGCTTTAAAAGCCATCTCTTTCTCCCCTGTCGAACCAGCCTGTCCCGCGTACAATGGCGGTACAGAACAAAGCAAGGAAAGTGATGCTGCTCGGAGAAGCAGGCCTTCGGTTCTGATGAGTGCTGGAGTCAGCGTCTACCGCCTGGTGGCTGTCGTGGCCGCTTGCCGTTCTTTGGGAGCCAAATGATTGAAGACGGCAGTGGGATGTCCGAGGTACTTCGGTGAGCTTCGGGAGCAAGGATCTAGTTCTGCACAAGGAAGCAGCGATGGCGGCGGAGAAGCTCGCGCCGAAGGGCCAAGCTTGGTGAATTCTCTGTTCGATTCTTGTTTTCTGCTAACCATCTTCTGTAACTTGGATGAGATGTTCGATCTGTTTCTCCCTCTCACCCTGTAGGTTTTGTACCACTGGGTTGCCGAGTGATACCGTACTCGAAGTGGACGGGATGAGCTTCCATCTCCATAAGGTGATTGGGAACTCGCTTGCTCATCGAGATTCGTTGTGTTTTCTACCCATTAATCACAAAAAAAGCTGATCTTTTTGGTCCTGTCGAACAGTTTCCTTTGATGGCCAAGAGTGGGAGGCTTCAGCGGCTGATAACGGAGTTGGAAGACCACCCTACCGACGCCCCAGGAAGAAGAGGAGAGCAGCGTGAGGTAAACGAGGACAAGGAGCCACGGGAGGACGAGGGAGTAGGAGAGATCAAAGAAGTGGAGGCTTACCCACACATCTCGCTTGCGGACTTCCCAGGCAATTGCGAGGCGTTCGAGACGGCCGCCAAGTTCTGCTACGGCGTCAAGATCGATCTCAACGCTTGGAACGTGGCTCCCCTGCGCTGCGTGGCGGAATACCTCGAAATGACCGAGGAATTCGGCGAGGACAACCTCGTCGCCCGCGCCGAGCGGTTCCTCGCCCGATCCGTCCTCCCCAGCATCAAGCAGTCCATCAAGACCCTCAAGTCCTGCGAGGACCTGCTGCCGCTCGCTGACGACCTCGGTATCGCCCAGCGGTGCGTCGACGCGATCGCTGCCGGCGCGTCCGCCTCCGACCCGGACTCCCTCTTCGGCTGGCCGGTCAACGAAGGCCGCGGCGGCGGCAGCAGCGAGCAGATCCTCTGGAACGGGATCGAGACAGGACTGCTCCGCCGGAGGACCGGCGTCCGCTCCTCCTCGTTTGCTGCCGCTGCCGCTGCCGCTGCCACTGCCGCCGGTTCTTGGCTCGAGGACCTCGCGATCCTGAGCCTCCCGATGTACAAGCGCGTGATCGCCGCCCTCAAAGCCCGGGAACTGAGCTCCGACGCCATCGAGGGATCCCTCATGTCCTACGCCCGGCAGTCCATCCCGGGCCTCTCCCGGTCCCGGCGGAAGCATTCCTCGGCGCCCATAGCGTCGGAGCCGGAGCAGCGGGAGCTCCTGGAGACGGTGATCACGAATCTCCCTCTGGAGAAGAGCTCCGTGGCTTCCGCGGCCTCAGCTACCGCCACCACCAAGTTTCTTTTCGGCCTCTTGCGGACTGCCCACATCCTCCACGCCTCGGAGGCCGCGCGGGCCGCCCTCGAGCGCAAGATCGCGTTCCAGGTGGAGCGGGCGACGCTGGACGATCTCCTGATCCCGAGCTACTCGTACCTCTCCGAGACGCTCTACGACGTTGACTGCGTCGAGCGGATCGTCGCCCACTACCTCGACAGCCTGGAAGCGGAGCGAGCGGCACTGGCAGCGGAGGGGGAGGTGGTGGGAGGGGCCGCGAGGACGCCGTCACGCGCAGGTTCGCTGAAGCTGGTGGGGAAGCTGGTGGACGGGTACCTGGCGGAGATCTCGTCCGACGCGAATCTTAAGGTAGACAAGTTCTATGGCTTGGCGGTGGCACTCCCGGACGACGCCCGCGTCTACCACGACGGCCTCTATCGAGCCGTCGACATCTATCTCAAGGTACAGTAGAGGCGCCCCCGTCGTCGTTGCTAATAGATCGAACTGGAGTTCATAACCTTGAGCTGATGAGATCTCGTGGAGCGAGCAGGCGCACCCGCGAATGACGGAGGAGGAGAAGGAGACGGTGTGCGGGGTGATGGACTGCCGGAAGCTGACGCTGGAGGCGTGCACGCACGCGGCGCAGAACGAACGGCTGCCGCTGCGGGCGGTGGTGCAGGTGCTCTTCTTCGAGCAGCTGCAGCTGCGGCGGGTGATAACAGGGACGCTGCTGGCGGCGGACGGGGAGGCGGCAGCCCCCGCCGCGGGCGGCGACGGGGGCGGCGCGTGGCGGGCGACCATGCGGGAGAACCAGGTGCTGCGGCTGGACATGGACAGCATGCGGAGTAGGGTGCAGGAGCTGGAGCGGGAGTGTTCCAGCATGAAGAAGACCTTGGCGAAGCTGGACGAAGGCGGCGAGGGTGGCGGGGCGGCAGGGGAAGAGGAAGGCGAGCCGCGGCGGAGGAAGGAGAGGAGGTTCGGGTGCCGGTTTAGCACGCAGGTGTGCGACTCGCACGAGCGCAATGTGGTGGAGTCGAGGCGTGTCGGGCGTGAACTGAGCCCGTAGCCTTCCATCGAACACCAAAAGCCTTGGGTTTCTCTTCCCTCGTGCACAAAGCAATCAACATCGATGGTTCTGTGCTCTCAGTGGCACGGCGGAGACAAACCGTGTTCGTTCAACAAATGTGCTATTCTGTAGATCTGCGCTTTTGCTTTACCGAACACTCCTTTTGATGGAACGGAGCAAAAGCAGGGAAGCACCAGAGTGCAGTTGATCTGTATGCAACACAAACAATTAATCAGCTTCGTATTGCATTCTACAAATTAACATGCAAAGCATCGTAGCATAATCACAAAGAAACACTTAATCACACACGATCACAGACATAATTACACATTAAAGCCATATGGAGTTCATTTAACGATGTGCATTAATTGCAGAGGCGACCGAGGAAATCAACCAAGGGTCGAAGAAGAATCCAAGGAAGGAAGGGGGAAATCAAGAATGGGAGGAAGGGATAAGGGGGAGACAAGGTCGAGGGCTTTGGATTTGGTCATTTGGTAAATTATTATTATTTGCTTAATAAGAGCTTTCCCGAAGAGTCACAGATTGGAACAACAATGGTGATGAGGATAATAATTGCGATAAGACTCGCGTGACATCAGCTGTCCCAGATGACGCCTCACGCATCTGTTGACCTAATGAGGCACCTGGTCAACACGGACCGGAACGCCTACCAAGGCACATTAACATCCTGTTCAGGCTTGATCCCTCACGTCACGCCAACGACAATGTCAGACGCTACTAGAAGTATGGTCCTGCTCCCTGCGGGCATGCACATCGGGCAACGGTAATTCTCACTATAAAAACCCTCGCGCTCCGAGGGAGAGGAGGAAAAAGAGAGATAAAAAACCTCTGCGATGGCTCACTAACTGGATCGTTGGAGGGGTCGGGCCGAGCTTCCCCGACCTTTGTGCAGGTGCGAAGGCGAAGGTCTCCCACTAAACGCCCAAGCGACCAGTCCCTTCCCGGAGGAAACGACGACCTCGTCCCGATCGGACCAACGCAATCGACCACCTCAGCAGTCCCGAGAAACATCCCAGGGAGATCCCCCATCATCCGGATCCGAACTAAGTCGCGACGGCCCCGAGGCCACGGCTTAAAGTTGTTTACAACAACGAATGGTAAGATGAGAAGTGTAGCCAATAACGACTGAGCGTTAGAAATAGAAAACAAATAACGAAATGTGTATATAGATAGATGTCTATATATTTATTTGAAAAATATAGGGAAACTGTAAAATGTGTATGCAAATTTTAGATTTGTTGATGAATACGAGAGGCTTCCTATAAATTTAGGGAAGGATTGGGTCGGTTTATGATACAGTGTTCGTGGAACACAGTGGAAGGTGTCAACGCCAAGGAGATTAAAGAAGAAGAATCATAAAGCAGAGGAAAAAGAAAGGACAAATAGGGTGGAGTTAATGAGGAAGATTTTAAGTTGCTGGAGGTCAACCCGGGCAACCCAGCGAGGCACCACAACTAGAATAGAAAGTGTTTAATCTAATTTACGTTGGATTTATGGCCGCAGAATATTATCCTAGCTTTTATCTTCCTGCTTAAATATGCCCAGCTAGCTCTGTTGATTACCTTCCTCGAATCCTCCAGCTTTGACGTCTAAGCCCTCTCTGTGAGCCATATATATATATATATATATGTGCAGTCGCAATCCCTCTGTGACTGACCGCGGACGAAGCTTGTGGTGTTGGCCTCACTGCTTCACAGCTCGCTGCTGCTTCCGTGGATGTCTCTAATGGTGAGGAGGAAGCCGAGCATGGGCCGCCAGAAGATAGAAATCAAGAGGATACAGAACGAGGAGGCTCGTCAGGTGTGCTTCTCTAAGCGACGCAGCGGGCTGTTCAAGAAGGCGAGCGAGCTCTCCATCCTCTGCGGGGCGGAGCTCGGCGTCGTCGTGTTCTCCCCCGCCGGCAAGGTCTTCTCCTTCGGCCACCCTTCCGTCGACGCCGTGGTCGACCGCTTCCTCGTCGGCACCCCGCGCCCGCGCACGACGGCCACCGCCGTCTCGACCGCGGTCGAGTCCCGCCGCGAGGCGAACGTCCGCGAGCTCAACCGCCAGTGCATGGAGCTGCACGACCTGGTCGAGGCGGAGAAGAAGAAGCGGGACGCGCTGGAGAAGGCGGTGAAGAAAGAGCGGGCGGGAAGGACCTTCTTGTGGGACGCCGACGTGGAGAGCCTCGGCATGGAGGAGCTGCAGGAGTTCGAGAGGAGGCTGGCGGAGCTCAGGAGCAGCGTGGCGAGGAGGGCCGACCAGGTGCTGCAAGAGACCCTGGCCCGCAAGCAGCAGCTCCCCGTCATCGGGAACGACGTCGGCGTGCCGGGGGCCTTCGCCGTCAAGCACGAAGTCGATGTGCACCCTTCTCTTCCCTCCGGATTCTTCGGCTACGGACATGGATTCTTTGGATCCATGTAATGAAATCGAATGATCTTCTTATGCTTCCCGTAGGAATTATCATAAATAATGGAGTAAATTCATACATACTCCATCTTGTTCTTAATAATACTTTGATCGTCATCTATTTGTAAGATGCAATGTCCTCGGAGAATATGTGAGGTGATAAAAGTCCTGCCTTCTCACAGTATTAACCTGAGAAAACAAATAAGAATCATTTTAGTTTGACGCAAATACCACGCAATATTAGAGGAATTTGCTGCTTAAAAAATGAACTATGCCACGGAAGACGATCTCCACATTCTATTCTGTCCTTTTTCCTTTTCTCCCAATCAAACAACTGCAAGAAACGAAAACAGTGATGCGATATGAGACAGAATGTGTTTGTTTGGCCGAAATTGTACTCACAATGGATGATATACATGCACAAACGTAAAGAAATAAATAACAACATACACAATGCTAACCTTCTGCAACGAAATTAATTCTCACCCGTCTCCAGAAACTTTGGTCTTCCGAAAACTGGCCAGACCTGGTGGTGAATTCGAGTCATCCAGAGAGTATCGGGATCATGTGGATACCCAGCTAGAATTGCAGATAGAATTGTACAAATGGATTGTGATCTTTTGCCTAATTCAGAAATATACTTTGTTTTTAGTCTTTGCAATAACACTTTGACAAGGATGGCGTTGGTGAAGTCAGAGGCTTTAAATCTTCATACCTACAGATACAAGAACATGGTTAAAAACAAAATCACACTGCTGGAGGGTCTGCTATTGTGGTTGCTTAACATTCTATTAGTCCCTGATTGATCGGAGTGTGGATGTGATAGGAGAAATCCAAAGACACAGTGACAGGTGCGCTTGGAGAGAGTGAAATATGATATTTTAAATAAGAATGCCAAAAAGGGTTTTTTACAAACTCAGAGAAGATATTATGTAGGCAACAGAACAATGACATTGTTTTTATCTAAACAGAGTGTGTGTTAAGTTACACTACTAAATGTTATTCATGAATAAGAACAATAGCAGATTTTCTAAACATGATAGTGGAAACCAATATGAAGAGATCTTCATATCGGACAGCATGCAGGATTATGGCCATAGTTTTTATGCACAGAAATCACAGCTATATATATATATATTCCTGTGAGAACAATGCAACATGTAACTATGGAATTTCCATTGGTTGAGCAACAAGCCATTGCTGAAAATATAATACTAAGACACTAATAAATAAGCAGAACCAGAAATTAGAAAATCCAAAATGGTTATTCTGGATTTCACATTACTGTTTAGGAAAATATATTGATCACAACTTAATCTTATTTCTTGCCTCTCCGACAATTTTTATTTCAAGGTTTCCACAGATCTGACTCACACAAGTCCACAACATATCACTGTGCTGACCACTTATCCAGAATTCTTGCAGGGCTTAAAATACAATGTCATGGATATCTCTACTACTATCCTCTTAAGGCATGGACAATAAGACAGAAAGACCTAATGCACCCTGCTTTAGCTTCTATGTCATCCCAACATAGTTTTGCATCCGATGTGCCAGGTGAATTGAGTTGATTTGTAGGATCAGATGAGTTTAAGCAATTTTTAGCCAGTACTTCAGGCATATCAAGATAATAATCAATTTTTTGTCGGATTAGGTCCTGATAATATCTGGCTAGATCTAATATTAGGTGCAGTTAGGAACCCGACCTACTATTACATATGGTGAAGGGTTCAAGTAGGAAATAAATATTCGTGAATGATACTAGATATAAGAGGAGAATTGAGCTGATTTACAGGGCTAGATAAGTCTTCTATTATTAAATTTAACCTGAGCATTTTTTAGCAATGAAATTGTTTAATAAATGCTTTTCAGGTAGTGCATGGGATTGTTGTCACTAATGACTAGAGGATTGATCAAAATAATTATTTGTTACACTGACCATCAACATGAGAAGAGAAAAATGAAGACACTTTAGAACTGCAACTGGAAACCCAATCTTTTTTGTCCCCAAAGATGTAAGCAGAATGAAGTGGTCAACTTTTGCAACAGCTGCTGCACAATAATGATTGCACTAAGAGCCACAGATATGTAGCGATTTCATTAGATAGAGAAAACTCGAGATTTAATTCATGGTAGCAAGATGCATTTCAACCTAGGTGCTCAAAATTGCAACAGATTTTGCAAAACATGCATGTCAGTCTGTGAACATTGGAAGAACAATATGGGACAACGAGATGGGATATGATGTAGATACTAAGAAGCAAAACATGCCTGGTCAATAATTCATGACAAACTATCTGACATAGCTGCAATATAATAAGTATAGTCAAACAGAAAGAGTCTACTGGTTTACCTGCTTTCATGAGGTTCTCAGTAGATTTAAAGTCGATTCGATATGGTCCTGTTATATCAAAAATCTCC